AAATGAAAAATTCCTTTTATCTTCCATTGAAGCATATGATATTGCAATTTTTCTTTCTTGTTATTAATATAAATCACCACATCATAAAAAACCCAACCCTTAATACGATATGAAAATTACTACAGTTGGGTAAGTATACAGGAAAATATACATTAAACACATTCTCCCGCATTCCCAATTAATTAGGAATCAGGTGTGTAATTGGAAACGAAAATCAAACAGAAATATTGTTCCATTATAATTTTCTTTCAACTGGTTTTGGATTACAGCTTTTTTCATCATTACTAGTAGACAATGTCAATCACATTAACTCGCCTTTCATCAACGATGCCTATGTATGTAAATTCTCAGTACCACGTTTGGATCAATGATAAGTATATATATTTCACAGGGAAAACACTTTTTATTCAAATCATAAAGTAAAGGGTTATGGTTTAGTAGCACTCAGGTCAATTTTTGCCCCACATATACTATACTTTATATGTCTTCTATAAGATCTGATTAGTTTATCAAGCTTGCATTATTTGTTTCATATTGACGATAAAAGGTATCGTTTCTTTTTAAAATAAACACGAAAGGTCACGATGCAGACTAAAATTGATTAGGTATAAGGTGTGGAGTTTGAAACAAATATCAAACAAAAGTTGCCATAGGTGGACAACAAATTTACCTTAGAGGGCTGTTAAGATCTGACAACCAAACTAAGTAGAAATAACATAATAATAAACTGCATTATTAATGGCTCGACAGTAATGCTAAGAGCCTAAATATTTAAACCTCGAAGCAAATAAAGTATATTGAGATGAATTAAGCCTCTAGTACCACTACTTATTGAAGACTTCTACAAGATCGGATATAAACACGTAGTTATGAACAGATCATTTATTTGATTAAACGTATCTCAATGAATGATAGGAGTAAATAAGATAAAAAAACTAAATTGGTGCAACGGGGTAATGTTTTGAAAATTATATTGTAACAATATCTCTCTTTGATCTACGACATGGTCTAGCAATCAAGTCGTGTGTTGAACCCCAATAGCAGATCAAGGTCGGCTGATCAAATGATTTGTTATAATGTTTACAGCCAAACATTGAAAATACGGTCTACTTTGCGATTTAATAATAATGATAAAAATCAAAAAGTAAAATTCAATTACAAGCCACTTTTTTAAAATATATTTTTTGTGTTTTATCTCTTGATATATATTCATAATTTTACAATGAAATCAAAAAAGAAGGAAAGAAAGAAAAGAAAACAACAACGATCGCGTGACCTTTTCATCCTTAGTATCAACTTCATCTGCCAGTCCTTTAGCCCATGAGGCATTGGATGAACATAGACGTGTGTACATTATATATACATTCTGCTAATCATTGTAAACCATGGGTGTATTGATTTATAAAAAAACAATCACACATAAATCAAACAACAACACAATGTTACACTACATTAATAAATCCTATAATCATTGGCGCCATCTTTTTATTACGTCACACCTGATAACGGAATTGAGTCTGGCACGTGAGAGTAACTCAAGCAAAGTCAGAATAATATTCGTTTCTTCGCAGACAACTGTCATTAGTTTGAAACAAGGTTAGATCCCGTCTCTAATTGACGGTGAAATAAGTCCAAGTACTATTGCAAAACTGTACTCTAATGATCTCAGATTTATTGTTGCTTCATCTTCTATCGGAGCTATGGTATTGGCGCCATTAAAAAAACGAAAATAAAAACAGTTTTCTGTTGGTCAGAAGGTAATTGATGTTACGGGTTAACATTTCAATGGTATTCTTTGTTTAACAAATGAGAGGAAGATATATTAAGAGAGAGAGAGAGCAGACTAAAGGAGGGACTGATCTACTCTTTGGTCCTATTCTTGGAACCCTGTCCAATTTTGTCACTTTAAACATATCTGATAAGTCATTTTGGATGAAAACATTTAGTACAAGTCATAGCAAGTGATGAAGCCTTCTCTTGTCAAATTGATATTGGCAAGTGATTAATAGACTGTCAATTATAAATGATTGAAAACCGTGATATATATACATGTATTATATTACATTTGGCTCCTTTCGAACGTTCTCGCTGGGTCTTATACAAGTTTCACATATCTACATACATCAAAATGTTTCTCAACAGAAATGTCTTCATCACCAAATTTTCACAATCATGGAATAATCAACTTTTTGCACATTAGAATTATTTAAAAAATAAAACAGTGGTTACTGTTATATTTACAGTAAAGTCGATTTAAAAAAGCTATACAATGGCAACTACCTATACGTGGAAGACATAGTATGGTTGAATATAAGATTTAAATATATAGCTCAATCAGAGTGAGAGAGTTAGTGTTAGTTTCATTACTCCGGATTTTAACTGTAGAAGTTAGAACGATGGATTTGTAAGGAGACATAGATAATGACAAACTGCAAGCTTTCGCAACCTACCAATGCCATATCCATAAGAAAAATATACAGAAGTAAAAACGTCAAGAAAATACCAATATGAGAACATAATCATAATACCAAAAAAAAAAAAAAAAAAAAACCAGGACACTAACAAGATCTTCATGGAGACTTTTTAAAACAATACCAAGATAACAAGACTAGGTGTTCTGGAACAGTAAGCGTCCTCTGTTTTTCCAAAGCGCTATGTAAATCTTTGTCAACCCAAGTAAGTAATGTTTTGTTCTCAAATGAGAACATGATATGCAACTTCGGAATCAACGGGCAAACTAACGAGCATAAAGGGAGTCCAACGTCATATCACACAAAGAAATCAATGAGATCTACCATAAATAGCTTTCATCAGCCTGCATCCCTTGCAACCCTATGTTATGACTTTGACAGTTGACGACTTCTTGCACGGAAATTGGAAAGAGACATTTGTTAAAATGCGACTTGTAAAAACCTAAAGGTTCGTGATGCAGAAATGCTCTCTAAAAATGAAAAATAAAAATCACCACGCTTATCATACAGATTAATGGAAAGGTGTCCACGTGGAAAGTTTAATATGGTTTTGATATGCTTATAGATCAGATATAAAAAACATGTGTTTCAATTGCCAATAAGAATGGTAATAACCATGTTGTCATTCATCATCATAATCAGATGGATTCTGAGAGTATCTTCCATTCACATTTTGACTTCGTTATGTCGATATTCAGCCTGAAATACTACGAAAACTTTACACCCTATTAAACGACAATTGGTTTTTATAAGCCTGACCAAATATTATAAAGTTTCCAATAAAACCACGCCTAACTCGCCAAATATTGTGCAACTTCTTAAATCTAGATTGACCCGCCAAATAATGCCCTCATATTGTATGGTACAAAAACGTCATTATGGTGATATATAACACAATTGTATCGGCATTGACAAAACGTTCTCTCCTAAACAAAATTTGGCGGTATGATATGGCAATTGATTGGACAGTTATTTATGTAATATCATATAAATAAACAATGCATACACTTGCTGCTCTTTTAAAATTCTCCGGTATTGAAATTAGAAATAATGAATTACCGGGCTGGTGCACCTCCCTATCTACATTTTGACTTTTCTATCGACCAGTTATGATTTTCCTCATGTATCTACTTGGTACTTCCTAGCAGGACAGCTGTATGCTACAATTGAACTAATTACTACGTCGGTTTGTAATGAAAGTGATATTCTCTTTGGTGGCTTTGTACTTAAGATCCTCTTTGCCACCATCAATACATCCTAATGTCGTCACAAGTGCTGATCATTTACGAAACAAATCCTTTTCTTTCGTCAATTTACTTTATTAAGGAATTTGATCGACGTTATACCTTTGATCTAAGCAATAGTAATACCATTATTCAAGTAGAGGATCTAATTTGATGTATTGACTTAAGATGACATGTTTTAGGACAATTTCCATTTTGTGGATGGAATAACTGTTTTCCAGACCATTCTCCTAAATTATGACTTTTTACAGCTGGTGGACGTTTAGTTCCTGAGATTTACTATAATCTGCATGTCCCGTTTTAATTCATTCGAAACGCAAGGTGGCATTATTTGCAATAGTTTGAGAACGCGTTGATCAAAAACAATGAAAATCAGTCAAGTAACTCCCTAGATTACAATGCACGTGGTCATGTATCAAATGTTATGTTATTGTATTTGGTGATTATGTCTTCCGTGAAAATCTTATGCACAGCAGTGTTGTGACATTGAGTAATTTGCCTGCCGCTAGGTATAGAGATGAGATCCCCCGATCCCATGTTGTCATTGAGGAGGATAAACTCACTCATGAACTCCATGCCTAGGAGAATTATGACTGTGGAGAGAGCGAATGGGGGACATACCCGGTATTGACTAGCCAGCTCTCACGATCAATCCATTTCGATTTCAGACTACATGGTTTCAATTCCCTTCAATTACTTTTAAATCACTTACCAGATTTAAATAGTATATTTTGAAGTTTGTTCTTTATGGATTAATCTTCCTTTCTTGCTGAAATATTGACCATTTTACTTGACGTCTTGCCTAGAATCATCTTCGAAGTTTTCCCTCTGTTTCTTAATCCCTTGAGTATAGTTTGATTTCCTCCGATCAATTTTGATCCCAAAAGGACGAAACATCTGTATGATGCAGTTGTGTTGTAAGTTCACTATTGACTGTATATAATTCTAAATTATTGAATTATCAACTCACTTGCGTGTCTTTAGCAGAATTGTGAAAACATGACAATGGCGTTTAAAACAAAAAATACATATTTCAAATGTTTGTTCTGTTATTTCTAAAACCACGTATCATTGAGAGAATGGCGTTGTTTAAGATTTTTCACAAGGACTGCCAATTCAATGACATTAAAAATGACAACAATGTGATTATGAAGCAGATTGAGAACAAGAATTGGCAATGCAATGTAAAATCGAAACAAACGAGATATCTTCGACTATATTAGTGTGCGATCTTATTTACCAACATGATAATGCAACTAATGAGTCGTTTTCTTTGTTGTTATAGGTTTCACCAGGTTATTCAGCAAAGAAGATGTTTGAACTTATTAACGAAGAACCAACCAAGATCGCTCTCCTAGGCCCTCTCTTCTCAGATGAACTGGTTTTGGTAGGGGAGATAACTCCATTTTACAACTTATTACAGGTAAATGCAATTGATTCCGTTTCAATGTTTTTGTGAGATTAAGTCATGGAGATAATCGCATAGTGTTACCAACAACTTTTACAGTACCTTTATTTAATGTCGATTTAGAACTTAGCGACATTTGTTTCGCGTAAACGTCACTCGTTAGTTCAAGCTGAAAGACATACATTGTAACGTGCCTATGACAATTACCATCTCTACCAATTTTTAATTAAGATAGATGAATGCCTTGAAATATGCTGTCTTTCAACACAGGACTGAACGTCTTTGTATTTGTGTTATCAATTATTTCTGACCGTTTTAAACCTGGATGAGTGTTTTGGAAACAAACACATCCAGTTATAATGGATGATGTCCTTAGAAAAAGACAACGAATGACGCCTTCAATTTAAACTTCAGGAAGGAAGTAGTCTCCTAGAGAAGACGCCTCTTGTTTCCGAAGACCTATTTCATGTTACAAACAGACTGTCATGTCATTTGTTATCGAACAGGCACCACGCATTTTTAACATTTATTGGGACTAATCAGTGTATAACTGGCCTCAAAAAAATCCACAGTATAAATTATAAACAAGGCATTTTGATAATGACAACAAAATAATCAGCACAACATTGCTGAAGGCATTGACTGATTGATTGCGAAGCTTTGATAGCAAATGATGAAAAAATAAAAAACCCATTTAGATAGAATATCAAAGGAACGAATCAGCACCAGTTCAATGTTTTAGACTAGACAGGATAAACCATATTACTGAGACAAGTAATAATCAATTCGGGCAGCACCCACTGACAGAAAATGTTAAAGAATATATCATCTATGAAAATATATAATTTTACAAATCTCACATCATTAACTTATTTAATTTCCCTGTCATTCTCTAGGTTATGACAGTTTACACGCGTCAACTTTTTGAACCGGAAGTACTTCCGAGATTGTTTTTTGTTTGCACTATATCGTCTACATGGAGTAAGCAAACGAAATTATGCTAGCAAAGTGAACAAAGATATGAAGTTTGAAACACAAGACACGGTAACTGTCGGTGATAATGGTAAGATGGGCAGAAGATTGAAAATTTACATTGGTACATTTTTTTATTATAAAAGTACACATCCGATCGTCATTCAACATTGGCTAAATTGCTATTATAGGATGATTCCTTAATTATGATATAGATACAGTTGTCTCTACCACCAAGTCTACGCTACATCAACATCAATTTCCTTAAGCCCTTTCGATCCCCGCTATTGTCTACAAAGTGACATTTCCATTTTCCCTTCCCAGAATTGTAGCATGTACAAGAAAATAATAGAGATAATAAGAATTTTTCTGAAGAAGAAAACTATAATACCATAAAAAAAAACCTTTTTCAATGTAAACCTGCTATGTACGTTTCTACATTCAGGAAGTCAAGAAGACCTCATTCACGCAATTCTTGTTTTTTGGAGCCAAATTCATACCAAACAAAATTCCTCAAGTGTGTGCGCCAGAGACATAGATCCTGATACCATGCAGGATACTTAATTATTCTTTGTTTTCAAGGTGATTTCTCCCATCATATTTCTTTTGTATTAATTAAAATGATAATAGAATGACGTTTGGGTGATTAGACCAAAAGGAACCTGATAATGCTATTTCATTTTGATTTTAAGGGCGCATAACGCCATATCAACCCAAAAATGTCAATTTGAAAAAAACGTACAATTTTTAAAAGACTTGATAGAAAAATATGTGTGCTGATTATTTTCATAATTAGAAAAGAGGGGGTCGCTGTGTTTATTTCAGAAATATTTAGGTCCTATTTATCACAAAGTGATCCACCTAATGAAAATTCCCGTGTTCAAATTCTGTGGCCAGCGGTGATAATTCATTCAATTTTGTTCAGTTGTACCCACGACAGAGGTATACTTAAGTGAAATATCCTTGCAATGGAAAAACATTGCAATGGCTGTTAATAAAAAAAACAAGCTAGGACGTCATGTAAGCAGTCATAAAGTATAGACAACAAGCAAAAATTCTAACAGATTGATTGTTCTACTCCTGGTAACAGGTACAACTACAACGTGTAGATAACAAAGCATATAAAATGTGTAAATAAAATAAATAAGGAATGGAAGGCACCACTGAGACGTACGTATACTTGGCAGTTACGGATTTTCTGACGTGCGTAAAGCCTTGTTGTCAAAACATGGATATCTGAAAAAACGGAGTTTGGAAATAGATCATTAGCTGCCGACAGGATCTAGAGTACGGATATTAATCATCTGTCAAAACAGAAAAAGAAAAAAGGAAAGTTGGTAACTAAATACGGATGACGTTATTAAACACGCTCTGAATGAATGGCACCGTGGGTTTTGATATAAGAGGAGATAGAGAAGAAATGAGTTTGCCTTATTCAAACTGATATTAGATATGTATATGAAACATACGGCTTTGTATAATGATGAAACATATTCTTATCATCACCACTTTTAATTGATACCTTAGTAAGGATATTGGTATGTAGTTATGTGCATGTATTTATGTTTACACACTGACAACGCAATGATGTTCTACTTAGTAAGTAGTGGGAGAAAAAACAATCCGTAAGAAGTACGACAAAGAAGTTTTAACCCTCCAGATTATTTGGAATGTCCAACCCTGGACAGAGCCTCGGATTGGACAATGTTATCATTTCCCCTGATACATGTACATTTGTACATCACCTGCACAGCACAAAAAAGCGTTCCATTTACCGAAACGTTTTTGTGACCAGTATGCATACCCCAAACTGTGACCACAACATTTCCTAAAGGCAATATATATATATATCTACTTATTACCCTTTGGCCAATAAATAACATGCTTGTGTCTTTTTTTTTTGTTTTTTTTTTTTGTTATGTTCATTGTATACATGTAATAATTAACACGATATATAACATACCGAACCATAGCTTTTGACTATTTGTTCAGATGAGTTTTGTTGCCGGAACATCCACTATTAAGGATCGCAGGCGTTTCCCGTCCCTGTACAGCACAGTTTTCATTCAGGACGACCTAAACCCTCTCCGTATAAGGATGATGAAATACTTTGGATGGACACGTGTGGCAACTATTCTGTTTGACATGGATTATTTTGGATCGGTGAGTAGCTAGTTCGATCTAATGAAATATTGAACTTTTGGAAAAAAATACTTTAATTTGTTTTCAATTTAAATGAAATATCATCATTATTGATATTAGAATTACGATTACGTTCATGTGCTCACGCTGTTCTGTTGAAATGGAATGGAGCCAATTGAGCGTTTAAATAATGTTTTCTTCTTATTTCCTCGTATCCTAACAGCAAATAGATGAGTTCCACTCCCTACTACAGACAGAAAACTTTACGCTGCTTACTTCTAGTGTTATTGTAGATCTAAGCAGGACCGAAGAACATATCAAACGATTAAAGGTGAGATTATTTTACATGTTATATTTGTATGATACATGTGTATGACATTTGCACATATAACAAATATGTTTAGTTTCCAGGGAAGTAGTGTCTATCAATCAATGTAAACCAGAAATAGTTATCGCCTTATAATTATATAAGGAAATGAGCTTCGAACACTAACCCTTCCGGAACACATGAGTTTATTCTTCTGACGCTATTTCAGGAGTCTCTCTGTAATTTTCGTTTTTTTGTTCATACTTTGCTTAAATTATATCAATTTAATTATGAATTAAAAATACAGATTCTACTTGTGATTGCCTATTAAATGCTAAGAGTGATCAGAGCCTTGACGGTTATCAATAAAAGAAATCTCTCATCTATTGGAGTACAACTGAAAAACCAATAAACCTCATTGAAATCCCTATTAACGCCACCTGTTATCTTTACAGCAATACCACTCAAGAGTTATATTTGGAGCCTTCAGATCGACTCAAGCACCAGCAATTTTCTGTGAGGTAATCTATCATTGCTATTCATATAGAAGGAATGCTTCCATGGGGCGTTCATGTTGTTCATATAGTAGTATAGACAAAATATTGGTGCACAGTCTCGTGCACGGTAAATTAAAGTGTTCAAAGGGTGGAGTGTTATAATGTAACTGTGACAGGTGAAGTGAAATAGTGACGGATGGTGCTGTCAGTTCAACGGCCTAGAAGTCATAGCTGAATTTTGATGATAAGTTCTTGTTAAAAGTTTAATGAAATGTTCATTGGTGCTGTTTTAGAGTATACAAATACCATTGCGCCGAAGGCCATCTTATAGTATCTATCATATGAACATATTCGCCATGAGGAAATATGCCTTTAATTATATCGTAAGCATGTTAGATTCAAAATGCTGAATATATATATGAAAAAATCGTCACATCCTGTCCTATAATTCAAAACTTTTCAAGAATCTTAATATATAAAACCTCAGTCAATTATTATTTATAAATCACAAGTTTTTTACTGTTTGTTTGGTAATACTCTCGTTGTCATTGTCACACTGGATATGTAATAACACATATAACGTCAAAAAAGTTTTACATGAGACATATTCGATGTATTCTACAGGGACGGCATTTTACATCGTTAACAACTTGAAGTTGTCACAACATTCATAATTCACATGTTACGCAGCTCGACATGCAAACATTCAACATTCAAAATTTCAATGTCTTGGATCTCGACATTAGTAATTCAGTTTTCAGAATTTTCAAATAATGTGTTCCTGTGTGTAATTATTATATATATAATGCATTCCTTTGTGTATTGATAAGACCTTGTGATGTGTTCCTATGTATATTGATAAGACCTTGTGATGTGTTCCTATGTATATTGATAAGGCCTTGTGATGTGTTCCTGAGTGTATTGATAAGACCTTGTGATATGTTCCTGCGTGTATTGATAAGACCATGTGATGTGTTCCTGCCTGTATTGATAAGACTTTGAGATGTGTTGATGTGTCCCTGTTTGTATTGATAAGACCTTGTGATGTGTTCCTATGTATATTGATAAGACTTTGTGATGTTTTCCTGCCTGTACTGATAAGACTTTGTGATGTGTTGATGTGTCCCTGTTTGTATTGATAAGACCTTGTGATGTGTTCCTGTCTGTATTGATAAGACCTTGTGATGTGTTCCTGCCTGTATTGATAAGACTTTGTGATGTGTTGATGTGTCCCTGCCTATATCGATAAGACCTTGTGATGTGTTCCTGTTTGTATTGATAAGACCTTGTGATGTGTTCCTGCCTGTACTGATAAGACCTTGTGATGTGTTCCTGTTTGTGTCGATAAGACCTTGTGATGTGTTCCTGCCTGTATTGATAAGACTTTGTGATGTGTTGATGTGTCCCTGCCTATATCGATAAGACCTTGTGATGTGTTCCTGTTTGTATTGATAAGACCTTGTGATGTGTTCCTGTTTGTATTGATAATACCTTGTGATATGTTCCTGCCTGTACTGATAAGACATTGTGATGTGTTCCTGTTTGCATTGATAAGACCTTGTGATGTGTTCCTGTTTGTGTCGATAAGACCTTGTGATGTGTTCTTGTTTGTGTCGATAAGACCTTGTGATGTGTTCTTGTTTGTGTCGATAAGACCTTGTGATGTGTATTGATTGTACTTTGTTTATTTGTGTATTAATCTGTCCCTGAGTACTTTTACACTACTTTTGATGTTTTGCAGGCTTATAAGCAAGGTATGTACGGAAGTAAGTATGTTTGGATATTATCAGGCACTTCGATGTACACTTTCTGGACAGATTCCCGTTTGGACGGTACTGGGACACGATGTACGAGAGAGCAGATTCTTGAGGCTGCGAGAGGTTATATAACGCTGGACCACGAGTCTATGGGGGAGGCAGACCAACAAACCATCAGTGGAAGGGTTAGTCCTTCTCAATATTACATGTAGTGATCAATATTATATACACTTTTGGTATATATGTGTATTGTTCTTGAATGATTTATTTTCCACATTGTAGCATTTCGATATATTTTGTGTAATGTTTTAGAGTGTTGCAGAGTACGACCAATACATTCGAACCTACCTGGCACAATTTCCTACTTACAAAATATCCAGGAAGTACACGTTCGCCTATGACACCGCTTGGGCGATAGCACTGGCCTTAAACGCCTCCCTTTGTTGTCTAAACGGATCGACATTAACTGACTTTAACTATAATAATAGTGAAATGTTAAGCAACATTAAGGACAAAATGGATCGGATACATTTTCAAGGAGTATCGGTATGTATTGATACGTTTCTAAGTATAGTCAACAGATAGTATCCTTTACATTTATACCCCAAAAAACACTTTAGGCGAATATTGACACAACAGTGACCAAACATCATCCCTGCACCACTGTAGAACAATTAAATGGAGGTCTTTACCCCAAAACAACAATATAGGTAGATATTGACACTATAGTCAACAGACAACATTCCTTCACCACCATGGAACAGTTAACCCGAGTTCTATACCTACTCATTCAAAAATCATAGTTACCGCGGAAATTAAAACCAGAAGAAAAATAGACCTTTGTAGTATTCGGGTTTGGACATATTTAAATATAATTCTAACCGTGTTTACCAGAGAGTGGATCATGCAAGAAAATCGTGACTTCACGCCATTCGCTCTCTGAGTGATAGATTATTCGAAAGTATTTTTTTCAACAAAAATATGTTGGAAAGAAACAACAAAACACAAATAACATTATGCAGTTTTACTCTAAAAAATTGTTTCCAGAAGGTCTTATCAATACAACAATGTTTTATCAGCAACATAAAGAAAGAACATTTCCAACAATTACCAGGAAACAAAACCAAAATATTTAACGTTATTTTACTAAAATGCAAAATAAATAAACAAATAAATTTGATGATATTTCAGATATCTATGGCACTATAAAGATACATTGTATAAAATGATGATTAACTTCTGATTATTCATATGAAAGAGAAATGTGTCTTACGAATTCAGATAAAAATAAATACATTTTCTTTACAAAACAAAAAAGGGAGAAACCTACAGGATTGCACAAAAATGAGTAAAATCTCAAATATATATCATTGGAATAATTTAAACGAATTAGAAGAATTTCCAACATTTATTCAATATTTCTGTCTCGGATATTGTGTGTGTGTGTGTTTTTTTTTTTTTTTTTTTTTTTACTTTTTTTGTAAAACGAAACAAATTTACATTATTTCGTTTTCTGTGTTCCCAATTAGTCTCCCCATTTCAAACCTAGTTTTGTCACAGAAAAACCTTAATCTGTGAACGCAATTTAACACAATACACAAGGGAGGTAATTCAATTGTCAACGAATTACAGTGGTACTCTTAACAAACATTTGGCAGTGGTACAGTGGTAATATACAATGTTAACTATTTAAGGAAATATAAAACTTTAACCTTTCCTTCTTTGATACTATATAAATAGACGCCTGGTAACGATGTCTACTATGCATACAATTATGATGAAACAAATTCAGACCTACGATCTTGATCTTTTTCCTTGTGACCTTCACCCTAAACTGACAACGCCTTGGTTCTATACGATATATCTACATCATACTCATAGCGAAACTTGACTTATACGACCTTGACCGTTCACTTTGTAACCTCAAGAGTCTAATATATTAAATGTGTATCAGTCCCCGCAATATCGCATCATAATACTATTATTCAGTGTTAACCGTTAATGGGATACAAAATGGGATCTCTTTGACCTTTAACCTGTACCATTTGAAATTGAACATCTCCAGATTAACTCTTAGATGAGTTATACACATGTTGATATATGTATTTATATAACTATACAGTAAGCATGTAAGTGTCTGTCAGACAGTCAAGCCAAACATAGATATCTGCCCCAGCTGTGGGAAACATAACTAGGCTATAGCTAAATGCATTACAATAAGCACGGAAAGTGTGTGACAGACAGTCAGGCCAAACATAAATCTCTTCTCTAGCGTTGGGAAACATAACTAGGCTATAGTCCCCCACGCGAAATTTGGAAAAATATTGATAGGAAGTAGCCGTAAACGTTACTGATTTAACTACACATATATTGCGATGTACCAATTCTTCTTTAAATAAGTTTACAATTTGTTTTATTGATAAACTAATAATTATATAATTACATGTGATCTATTGTAGGGCCCTGTTTCCTTCCAAAACGGCAGACGCATTGGATTCTCATATATTCAGTCAAATGAAGGTAGGGAAACGTGTCATTAACAGCCGGAACATTACATACGAGATTTACATTAATGATTATCAAAGTCTTGTTGATAGATTTATGCCCTCGTTAGTTCGCTTCACTCCTATTCATCATCCACGCAAATGTTTGTTTCTGTCAATTGCTGTTTCCTATGTGTTTCTATTAATAACTTAATCATGAATATATTTTATGCAAAGTCACTATTGGTAATTCATGCAAGTCACGGTAAGCCCGCTTGTAGCATCATTCCTTTGAGGCCTTAAATAAATTTAGCTAAATGGCCATCTTCTGTATTGCGTTTAAGTATTAAGTATCATTTGGGATGCCATATGTATTTATGTAAACTTTTCTTATCCCGAAATTTCCTTAACTTAAAACTTCATGTAAGAGTATGTATCGGCTTATTTGTTAAAAAGTATAGATTTATCATATATATATTTCAGTAGTAAAATGAAGTTTTAATATCGCTCCCCACAAAGGGAATGGTTTTGTTATTGGTTACAAAGTTGTATCTATAACTCTTGTAAATCTTGTACAAATAAAAGTAAAACTTATCCCAATTATTATGGAATTGTCCCATCGAACCACTATAAGGAACCAAATGATGACATGGTTTTCCTGCTCTTCAATATCCTGGTGTCATGTGACGTGTTACCGTCTCCAGGAAAGCTAATTGAACTGACACATGTTTAACTTCCGACATTCACTCGTGTAACAAAATTTTGAATCTATTGCCCTGATGAAAAAAAAGTATATATTAATTTTCTGATTCATCAAGGCATAAAGCTGCCTTCCACTTTATATCTTTCATAGTAATGATAGTTTGAAATGAAGAGGGTAAAAAAGGATGGGGATGGATTTATTTATTTCATTGAAATATTTTTGGTTTAGAAATGTCTTTATGTGAAATACTGACATGCATATATTGAGATTCATGTACGTATACAACAAACTTTAGTTAATAATGCACCTCAGGATGAAGATTTACATGGCGGATGCAGTCGTTGAAGCATAAGATAATTACCGTGGTAGATCACATAGATTTAATCTCCTTGACCATTTGCGTATTTGATCTTTCTGTCATGTTCATATTTTTCTCATTTCATCGATTTTGAGTTTGAATTGAGATTTTGTAAACATTTCGGCATTTTCTTTGTTTTAATCATTTGGTAATGTTATGTATACCATTACTTACATGTTATATAAATCCTTATACCCAAGATCGAATGTAATCTTGTTATTTCACCATATCATTCATTTTCATTCATATGGATAATGGATTGTCATCAAGAGCTTCAAGTGGTTAGGTTCAGGATTTATTAGGTAACAAGTTCCTTAAAGTAACAAAATGTCAATAGATGAACATAGAATGAATACAGCACAGCATTGACATGTAAGAATTATTACAATTTAACAATACAAAAAATCCTTACAAAAATGCGATACGTGTTACAAAGTTTAAACTTCCTTTTCAGGCTTTGACAGGTCTTCAGTGGCTAAATTTGATCCCACGGATCAGTCTTTAAACTGGACTTTTAACCCCAGTTTACTGTTTCAAGGTTTGTGGAAGTAATCTACATTTATCATTTGAAATATGGCTGTTTATCTTACGATAATCCCTGTTGTTGGTGTGAACATCTTAGTCGTAACATTTTATCGCTTTACCAGGGGTAGTTACAAACGTATCAAACCTTGTACAAATACAGTTAGCAATAGAGCTATTCTTGAATATATATTCATTGGTCCAAGTTTCCTTAACCTTATATTTTTTTCCTTAACTTACGATATGCTTTTCTATGGTAGTTAAAATTTCATTAAGTTAAGGAAGATGTTTAGGAATATTTTAGATATCTAGCGAAACTATACACAGCCAATAGGAACATTAATTTACACAACCGGAAGTGCTGTGTCATTTAAAATAAATTGCTCGAAAGTTATTCCAAAAGTATAGAAAAAAAATGACTTTAACTGTTTCTTATCAACAGATACGTCATCAAATGACCAGAACACGTTACTTTATCACGCAGACAAACTATCAACGAGTTGCAATGAATATGAAAATGCCAAGATCAATTTTGAAAATATACTCGTTTAGACTATGGTTTTTATTCGGTTATTCATCTAATTTGGGAAAGTCATCCTCAGCAAAATGAAAGTTAGTATTATTTACTTGTTAGATGCGGTGTGATGATGTGTAGTAGTTTTTTTTGGTGTATTTGTAGGAGGGAAAGTTCCCAAGGACTCGTTTACCTACACCACTAAATACTTTACCATACCTATGAGTGCCATGGTCTGTATGCTTATCCTGGATACCATTGGATTTCTAATGGCTGTTGGTTTCCTTACATTCAATATATATTTCAGAGAAAATAGGTAAATATCAACATGAGTATGAAACCCTTTTTCATGTAAACAAAGAACAGGATTGATTATTACAAAACAACAATAGACTATCGTAGGAATTAACAGGAAAAGAATGTGTGCGTTATCATTTACATGTATAACATTGTCGTATATATCAGCTATATGTTGGTGCCGATGTAACTAAACAAATGTTGTCTGATATATCACTATGTAGGTAGATATTTTCAGCACAATATCTAATGGCTACTTGTCTTACACAGGTATCTTCACAGCGATAAACAAACATTATACAGGAAAGTCCTCGTGGTGAGAACAGCATAAATAATTGTCTACATGTTTATTCCAATGGCAGTGATTCTCTGTCGTGATACATAAAAAGTGACACGAACACTCGAGCTGACGGCAAAATACTTGTGTCACCATGTCAGCAATGGCGGCACCATACTGGTGTCATTATGTCAGGGTTGATGGCACAATACTGGTGTAATCATGTCAGGGTTGACGGCACAATACTGGTGACATCATGTCAGGGTTGACGGCACAATACTGGTGACATCATATCAGGGCGGCTGACGGCACAATACTGGTGACATATCAAGGCTGCCAACACAATACTTGTGTCCCTTCTCATATGGGTTACCTGGTATCGAAACTGGTAGACCGAAAACACACCTCCATTAACTAATGGGAAATCCTAACCGAACGCCCTTAAGGACTTAATTACACTATTTTATTAACTTGCTCTGTGTGTAGGTGAATGAAACCGTTCGTTTTGTTCCTTCCTATATTGTAACGTCATATAACACCCACAAATATGATATCACAACATATTCACTAGCACATAGAAACTGATAATGTCACAATGATGGAAGCGGCAACTACGGATATTAACGATACCTACGGTAGAACATGATTCCACTAAAAAAAAATAACCAAAAAAAAAAACAAAAAAAAACAAAACATTTTCCCTCGACAGTCGGTTCGTTTTATGTTTTATCCTGCCGCCGAGTTGTCGGATTCATAGTCGAATGTTCCCTTTTTTCAGAATGTCTACATACACATTTACATTCTGTCAACCAACTTGTGTACATCAGTTTTACGAAAAGTCTGTAGTCATATTTGAAAAGTTTTCTCCATCACAATTTTGATTATTTTAGAAATGAGTCAACTCTTTCATAAGCTTGGCATAGTTAGAAAAGGTTTGAGTATTAAGAAATATTTACTTATATTAAGCTTTACAAACATCATAACTTTATTTCTGTTGCAGAAACATTAAGATGTCAAGTCCCCGTGTAAACAACGTCATAATCATAGGTGCTTTCATCATGTATGCGTCTGTTTGTGTGTCTACGTATAGTGCCTACAACGCCCCCAACGTCGGCCGCGTCACGTGTATGGTAAACAAAAAATATGACAATTCTAATATACCATTATAACGGGAACTCATATAACAATAGAAATACCATTATTACAGGGGACCAATATAACAATAGAAATACGATTATTATAGGGACCGATATAACCATAGAAATACCATTATTATAACCATAGAAATACCATTATTATAGGGACCAATATAACAATAGAAATACCATTATTATAGGGACCAATATAACAATAGAAATACCATTAATATAGGGACCAATATAACAATAGAAATACCATTATTATAGGGACCAATATAACAATAGAAATACCATTATTACATGGACCAATACAACAATAGAAATACCATCATTATAGGGACCAATATAACAACAGAAATGTCATTATCACAGGGGACCAATACAACAATAGAAATACCATTATTATAGGGACCAATATAACAATAGAAATACCATTAATATAGGGACCAATATAACAATAGAAATACCATTATTACATGGACCAATATAACAATAGAAATACAATCATTATAGGGACCAATATAACAATAGAAATACCATTATTACATGGACCAATATAACAATAGAAATACCATCATTATAGGGACCAATATAACAATAGAAATACCATTAATATAGGGACCAATATAACAATAGAAATACCATTATCATAGGGACCAATATAACAATAGAAATACCATTATAACCGGAACTCATATAACAATAGAAATGTCATTATCACAGGGGACCAATACAACAATAGAAATACCATTATTATAGGGACCAATATAACAATAGAAATACCATTATTACATGGACCAATACAACAATAGAAATACCATCATTATAGGAGCCAATATAACAATAGAAATGTCATTATCACAGGGACCAATATAACAATAGAAATACCATTATAACGGGAACTCATATAACAATAGAAATACCATTATTACAGGGACCAATATATCAATAGAAATACCATTATTATAGGGACCAATATAACAATAGAAATACCATTATCATAGGGGCCAATATAACAATAGAAATACGATTATCACAGGGACCAATATAACAATAGAAATACGATTATTACGGGACCAATATAACAATAGAAACACCATTATTACAGTACCGAATAGTATCTAAACATTGTATTTGATGCAACTTTTTTTTCTATTGACTGCAATGTATTTCACTTTCGAGAAGTTCAGTTTTTCACAATTTTAAAGATGAAATAAAATCTTGACAAACACATGGACACTTCGAAAACAATACTAACAGTCAGCCCAAGCCTTCACTGAAAATGCCTGTTTTTATCTTAGCTCAATAAATAACTACATGGATGAAATCGACAGGCTCATACTTACACTGTATGTATATACTGCATTTTCTAGGTGAATACCTCTATGAAATCAACACTCGCAGTATGTTGATTACTTTTAGGTTGATACCTGGGTGCACTCAATAGGCTTTACAACAGTTTTCGGGGCCCTCTTCTCCAAGACTTGGCGAGTACACGTACTCTTTAAGCAGTCGACAGTTAAACGAAAGGTATCCTGTTTTATATATACAGCATTATCTTATGTATTAAACGGTAAGTAAAATACCTTAATGAGACTCATTGAAATATAGCAGGAGGTAGACACTGCTGGTGTAAGTTTGTCTAACCTAGTGGCACGGTTCAGTATATGTTCACATGCACTTCATGGTGTTCTGAAATTATTTATTTTATCTATTTAGTTATGGGGCTGGTCAACGTACCAGACTGGATTTCGATCACTTTCAATTTTCCTCAGTCGTCTCTTAGGCTTCAATATCTAGGCCTTTATCAACACTGACGTGTCATATTAAGACGAAACATGTGTCAGATGCAGTATGCTTCATCATTTGACTCTACTGTATCTAAATTGTTAAAAGGTGCGACTCACTGGTGTCTTTTGTACAAATTTTGATAAGAAGATATAGAGAAAATAATGTTTATTGGATCTATGAGGTATATGTATAAGTATATTTTAACATTGTTATATCCGTCCTTTTTTATATTTAGAACATTTTGTTTACTATTTAAAAAGGCCATCAAAGACTCTCAGCTCTTTGGTCAGCTGTTCTTGTTGATTATCCTTGACCTCATCCTGCTGACGGCTTGGACAGTCTTCCATCCGCTGGAACAGGAACAAATAAAGATTAATAGACAGGTGATATGTTGATATGTTTTATGAAAATTGGTGAAAAACTCTTAACGAACTATATCCGCTGTATCACTTTGTTATTGCAGCTTTTCAAACCACATTCAATTTAGAAATATAAGAAAAGTGTTATCTCCGATCCTTGGTAACCTGTTAGAGCTGTAACAAAAACTCCAGTTTCTATAAGTAGAAGATAATCAGTATTTCTTCATTTTTGAGATGTTCCAATTAACGTCTTGGTTATATATTTTTTATGGACCAATGGGGCTCAATAAAAAGACAACCCTGAAACAACTGTCAACAACAGACGCACGACCAAATGGAAAATTTAATCTTAACAGTGTAAATATAGGGACTTACAATTCACTGCTATTTTGTCTACACTGTGAAACATCAAAGTACATCGTATACACAGTGATACAGAAAACTACATTGTATACACAGTGATACATCAAACTACATTGTATACACAGTGACACATCAAACTACATTGTATACACAGTGACACATCAAGTGTATGCAAAGTGACACATACATTGTATACACAGTGATACAGAAAACTACATTGTATACACAGTGATACAGGTAAACTACATTGTCACAGTACACAGTGATACAGTAAATCAAACTACATTGTTACACAGTGACACAGTGACACAGTATACACTACATGTACACAGTGACACAGTATACACAGTGATACAGAAAACTACATTGTATACACAGTGATACATAAAACTACATTGTCTACACAGTGACACAGTACACTACATGTTATACACAGTGACACAGTAAACTACATTGTATACACAGTGACACAGTAACTACATTGTATACACAGTGATACATCAAACTACATTGTATACACAGTGATACAGAAAACTGCATTGTATACACAGTGACACATCAAACTACATTGTATACACAGTGATACGGTAAACAACATTGTATACACAGTGGCACAGTAAACTACATTGTCTACACAGTGATACAGTAAACTACATTGTATACACAGGATACGGTAAACTACATTGTATACACATTGACACATCAAACTACATTGTATACACAGTGACACATCAAGCTACATTGCATACACAGTGATACATCAAACTATATTGTATACACAGTGACACATCAAACTACATTGTATACACAGTGACACATCAAGCTACATTGTATGCACAATGATACAGAAAACTACATTGTATACACAGTGATACAGTAAACTACATTGTATACACAGTGACACATCAAGCTACATTGTATGCACAATGATACAGAAAACTGCATTGTATACACAGTGATACGGTAAACTATATTGCATACACAGTGACACATCAAACTACATTGCATACACAGTGACACATCAAGCTACATTGCATACACAGTGATACATCAAACTACATTGTATACACAGTGACACATCAAACTACATTGTATACACAGTGACACATCAAACTACATTGTATACACAGTGACACATCAAACTACATTGTATGCACAGTGATACAGAAAACTACATTGTATACACAGTGATACAGTAAACTGCATTGTATACACAGTGATACAGTAAACTACATTATATACACACTGACACATCAAACTACATTGTATACACAGTGACACATTAAGCTATATTGTATACACAGTGATACAGTAAACTACATTGTATACACAGTGATACATCAAACTAAATTGTATACACAGTGATACAGTAAACTACATTGTATACACAGTGATACAGTAAACTACATTGTATACACAGTGATACATCAAACTACATTGTATACACAGTGACACATCAAGCTACATTGTATGCACAATGATACAGAAAACTACATTGTATACACAGTGATACAGAAAACTACATTGTATACACAGTGATACAGTAAACTACATTGTATACACAGTGATACAGTAAACTACATTGTATACACAGTGATACAGAAAACTACATTGTATACACAGTGATACAGTAAACTACATTGTATACACAGTGATACAGAAAACTACATTGTATACACAGTGATACAGTAAACTATATTGTATACACAGAGACACATCAAACTACATTGTATACACAGTGATACGGTAAACTACATTGTATACACAGAGACACCTCAAACTACTTTGTATACACAGTGACACATCAAGCTACATTGTATACACAGTGATACAGTAAACTACATTGTATACACAGTGATACGGTAAACTACATGGTATACACAGTGATACGGTTAACTACATGGTATACACAATGATACATCAAACTACATTGTATACACAGTGATACGGTAAACTACATTGTATACACAGTGATACATCAAACTACATTGTATACACAGTGATACAGTAAACTACATTGTATACACAGTGATACAGTAAACTACATTGTATACACAGTGATACATCAAACTACATTGTATACACAGATACAGTAAACTACATTGTATACACAGTGATACAGTAAACTACATGGTATACACAGTGATACAAACTACATGGTATACACAGTGATACATCAAACTACATTGTATACACAGTGATACGGTAAACTACATTGTATACACAGTGATACATCAAACTACATTGTATACACAGTGATACAGTAAACTACATTGTATACACAGTGATACAGTAAACTACATTGTATACACGGTGATACATCAAACTACATTGTATACACAGTGATACAGTAAACTATATTGTATACACAGTGATACAGTAAACTACATTGTATACACAGTGACACAATAAACTACATTGTATACACAGTGACACAATAAACTACATTGTATACACAGTGACACAGTAAACTACATTGTATACACAGTGACACAGTAAACTACATTGTCTACACTGATACAGCTAACTAGACAGTCAACAAAGTAACAGGGCAATCTAGATTGCTTACAGAATGACACAGCAAACCTCTTTGTCTACACAGGGAAAAAATATCTACATTGTTCATGCAATGACAAACTATATAGACACAGCAAATACTAACAAAAGAGGTGAGTTCTAAGGTTATTGAAATTGTAAGTGCTTGTCGGTTCTTTGTTTGCGCTAATTCTACATATTCTAATTTTGAAATAGACAAGAAATAATAAAATAGAACAAAGACGATATCCAACATTAAGAAAATCGAAAAAAAACAACATTTATTTGTGATATATCTACTAGTTACCTCCCATCGACCACACATCAGCTTGAAATATCGCGAGTTTCCTGAAACAAATATTTCTTTATAGCTCGATTAAAAACATCTCTACCTTGCAGCAGAATATGATATTAAAGTATAGGATAATATCAATGGATTCATCAGTATGGTACCTGGACAATTTAAGGAATACGGAACATTTTTGCTAACTATTAATTATCAAGAGACCTTGTATGGTATTTTGAGGATGAAACAAGAACCTGAAGAATTAACTGGTCCTTTTTGTGGTACACATGAGTGTATTAGTAAATTTTCTATAATATAATATCTACACAAGAGAATACGACTTGCAAATAAAATTATAAATGATTGCAAAACAAAAAATGAGAGCTTTTTCTTATAGACGGGTTTTTTTATTATACTTACCACCTTCAATACCTACGTACATTTTTGTATCACCTTAACAAGGATTTTAGATAATCCCGCCTACGTTTTCAAATGCTTACATATAGACTCGCATAACATGTAACGTCTTCTGAACCAAAAATGGCAAAGTGGTCTTACACAGGAGTAAAAGGGAGGTTGGGTGGGGTTTGATAAACCTCGAATTCATTTCAGTAATACATATCGTAACTTAAATATGCGAACTGGCCATACCGAAGTGGATACCGCGAAATCCTGGAAGACGAGGCTAACATGACATGACCACCTATTTAAAAACTGGAGAAGACAGACTTCAAGGAACTCTAAAGATTAAAAGATGGACCGCTCTCCTAGTGAACCGGCAGACGACCCACAAAGATGCATGCCGGCATGCATTGAAGAAAAGGACAAACCTCTACAACTGTAGAGGCACAGCGACAGACTAAATTACCAATGTTCCCATAGAGTGAACATCATTATATTGGGTGACCAAGGACCTAAAAAAAATACATCTGTGAAAAAGGTCTAACATCGAAATAGTCTGAGAAAAGATGTCCTACTTATTAAAGAACATGCGCTAGGTTTTATCTTATAAAAAAGCAGAACAAGACGTTGGCAGAGTAAATCTGATTGTCCTTAGGTCTTACAACATCCGTTAGACCAGAATTCTTAATATAATAGATGGAAACCCAGGTACTAATTGTTAGCCAAGAAAGCTGGATCAGTTACCATGGTGACTGAGGAAACGTCACTGAATATCGAAAACGAGAATGATGAGGGGATAATGCACGAATCTCGCTCCTCGTACGTCCGGAGGTCAAAGTAATGAGGAGCACTATTTGAAGGTAATAAACTTCAATGACACAGAACTAATAGGCTTGTAACTTGCACTCACTAATTAGAACAAGAACTATATTCTATTCTATCGCGAAAGTCTGCCGAATCGAGCGCCCCCCACCCCCTTGATAGTCTCAACGTGTGAATGTGGAGGATCTCCGGACGGGCATACAACATCCTACAAATGCCCCCGACACATGTGAAACAGACTTCTCACCATATTTAACGGAGGAAACGTATAGGCATTAATTTCGTCACTATTAACAGACGGAGCGTCTACTTCCCAAGCACTGGGAACCGAAGAGAACTCAGGTTGGAGGCTATTTTTTCAAGGAGATGGCCAACAGGCATGTCCGATAACTGACAAATGTCTTCGAAAATTGAAGGATCACTAGTCACTCCGTTAATACGGTCTTAAGACGTCTGGAGAGATTAATCACCAGAACAGTCAACCAACCTGAAGATGCTTGACTAGGATAGTCAGTTACCACTCGTGACATGAGACCTTGTGCCCGTTTGATCTCCAGGTACGCGACAATTATGGAGTTGGCAAAATCCCTTCGACATTGCTGTGCTTCGTGAATTGGTCACTAGACGGGATCTGTTCCGAGAGGACAAGAGCCTGAGTTGGTATAGGGAGCACCTCTAAAACGAAGTATTCCCTCGGAAACAGTCGAAATCTGCGATGTCTTGGCCTTGACGTTTGTCATGAGGAGTGCAGAAGCTGCCAAGTCCTCATTTAAGCAGATGGTTTCCCCTAGAAAAGATATTACCCGTAAAGGAAGCTTCTAAAGGACGATGATTCTTCATGATGGACAACCATCTGGGAAACACGTGGTTAGAGAGAGCAGGTACTTGCAAGGCAGTTGATATCTCTCTTATGGTGCTCATCGAGACCAAACACTACCTGGCTCACTGACTTACTAGATCAAGCTGTTAACTCAGTTAACACTTCTCCTGCATCAAGGACCTTGCGGTGACCAGAGCAAAAGGCACAATAATGTTGTCTTAGCCAACAGACGTCTGAGTAGCCACAAATGTGATAAGTAACATGATAGACTCTGTGATTGATGGCAGTGAAGGAGATGAGCACACCGCGTCCCCGAGAATTCTGACAACGTCAGTCTTAAGGGCGCTTCTTTTAGATAAAGTTGTCCAGGCCCCAGTCTCAGACTGCCAGCAAACCTTTTTAGGACCAGCCTATAAGGCCCTCGTAGTGGATGGATGTGTGGTAGGTCAGCTGACAAATTACCATGCCGTTTAAAAGCGGAGAGACAAAACCCCAAGGGCTACACACAGGAATACATGTGGGGTTATAGCCAACAGCAGCGAATAAGCAAGGACCCGCGTGTTACAATTGACCCAGAAGTGACCAAAGTTGCCCACCTGAGACTAGGGCTTTCAAGGGGTAGCGGAATGACCGCCACTAGCTCCTGTATACACCAAGAAAGCTATGGGCTCTACCTATAGCTGCTGGAATCTTGATGCTGCTCATGACCATCAGCAGGTCGTCTCGCGTGGTTCGGTATGGCTGCACAGGGACAGCCTTGAACATAAAGACCGATGAAAATGATGGACGGAAACCAAAACGTCAGACAATGATTCTGAAAGGAAGGCAAGACCAGATTAGATAGCTGAGCATCACAAAACCCAGTATAATGAGACAAACTTGAATATTATGCTGATTCAATCAAAGTCCAAAGGCAAAGGCCTCCTTATCCTTTCCCTACCATCAAGATTTGGATGTCGTGGTCATTGTCAGCATCAATGACCGCCGACCAGTAGGTCCTATCCGAGGGCAAACACGGAGGCTTATGGGCGTCCACATGAGGAAACTGCCGCGGCACCCTCGACAGAGCATTAGAAAGGGGGTACTGACAGACTCCATGGAGTTGACAGCCGTTGAATTCCAAAATTAAAATTGTCTTTTAGGATTCTGTCGTTTTCTGTACTAAATAATTAATTGCAATGGAGTACAGTTATGCCGAATTTCTTAAACATATCCTTTTCAAAAATGTGTGTTCGATAACGTTAATAATTTGCGTTCTCTACAAAACATCTTACTTCATACACACCTTATTCTGTCATTAAGAACTCACTTTACAAGAAAGAAACACGATATTACAAACAATCTAGATAAACAACAAATAATGAGGACAATATAGCATATTCTCCAAAAACGTTGACCACAGTAGGAACTGTATTTATTATATCCCACAGGAAACAGATGTATTTCCAAATCGATAATATCTGCATGTAATATTTTAACTCATTTTTATTTGGATCGATCGCTGTTGAGTGGAGTGAACGAGCTTCATAAAAAGCAAGTTAAACATTGCCTGATAATATTTCATAGAGAATGTTCTATCGTTAAGATAAAAGACATTAACACTAAGAGAAGAGCAGGTGTATGCAGGTTTCGGAAAGAAATTTTCAAAGGCAATATAATTTGGCAAGACTGAGCAATAGTGTTTGCTTCATTCCAGTTATCATTTTTTCACATACATCATGATGTTTTTTTAATTTTTTGTTTTCTTCCCGTTGTATACATTCATAGGCTAGAGAAACCATTTTGCCTCATATGAATGAAAGACTGTCATCGTAATTAACTGTTGAAGTTAAAGTGAATGAACATATGACAGGAAATGTTTGTATGGGTAAATTTAAAGATATTGACTAGTGCATGCAGGCAAGATAAACCGTGAAACAATACATTTTAAGATAAGACAGTGACGGTATTGTCATAATTGGAATAATAGGAACAGAACCAGTAATACAATTATGTATAATAGATATCCATCAGATAAAAAAGAGTTTAACAAATGTGTTCACATATCAAATTCCCATGAACAGGCCTCCGATGATGACGTTGTGCTATCAGAGGTGTTCACACAATGCAACCATCGTTACCTTGTCTACTGGGCGGCTGCAGAGTATGTCTACAAAGGACTCCTTCTAGTGTTTGGCACATTCTTAGCCTGGGAGACTCGTGATATCCACGTTCCTGTTCTCAACGACTCAATATACATCGGGTTTTGTGTGTACAACATAGTCGTGGTGTGTGCAATAGGAGTACCTACCCATCACATCCTCACAGTGGAACAGTCACTCATAAAGTACATCCTAAGCAACGCCCTCACTATCTTCTGTACCTCCCTCGTCCTTTGTATCCTCTTCATACCAAAGGTAAGTAGTCTACTTTAATGCAGGGAAGTCATACATGTAAGAAAGGATGGGATAAATTCACCAAGTGTGTTTTCGACAATTACAACAGAATTCATTAGGCCGCGAAACTTTTACTTTGTTTTGCTATGGATTAAGATTTTATTGAAACGTTTATTGACGTTTAGTTGGCCGGTGACATTAAATTACTGTTATAATTTATATAAATACTGAAATATAATATAATTATAATATAATATCATATATAAAATTATATCATATACACATAAACATGAACCAACCGTGCTTAATGAAATAAATGATAAGAATATTGAAATAATACGTTGATACATCTCCTGGTGTTCTTTTAAGTTTATTTTATCCATTTTGGATTTTCCTCTGTCGCATCCTTGATTTTCACAGGTAAGGTCCTTAGCATTACTGGCAAGTATAAGAAGCACAGCAGTGCGATGTACTTTACAATCAATACGACTTAACTGTACCTAATTCTAACTTTGTATTGAAATGTGTCATTCACTTTTCATGTAGTTCTTCGATACCACGAAACAATGTATGTAGACGTTCGGTGAAAGTAGAAAGTAATTAGCTGAAATTCATTACACGTAAGTGATACTGTAAGATAGATTTACTTATGAATAATTGAGTGTTACATTATAGATTTCTCTGCGGAATCAGACGGAAAACATACGATTTGTGCCGACGCTAAAAGGAATGTCTGCGGCCGAATCCTCATCTACAAATCGAGTCACACAATTGACGACACTACAAGGTAACTGGATGTCTTTTGGTAAGATCATGAATATGGTACTTAACGATATACTTTGGTAAACCATGGTCGAAAACATGTCATTGTCCCCCGATTATCTTGAGAACATTATAATTTTTTGCCCGTGGTGACATTCAGTATAACTAGTTTACTAGTCAAACAATACGAAAGGGGAAATATCCCGTCAAGACCAGCTAGTACTAGTAGGAAACAGCCAATACCCTAAAGGCAGCAGATTCAAAAATTTGTTTTAATTCTACAGGGTCCTATATAAAACAGAACCTCGGTCATTTATTTTAAATGATGTACGAGAGTATTGTACCACTAGGACTCCAACCATGGGCCGCTGAATTTCTCAATTTAAAAGCTAGTAAAGGAAAATTTCAACTTATGATATCTATGATGTTAACGGTATTTTTTCTGGAGTAGCATACCCTTTCCCAATATCACACTGAATGTGGCAGTCATGTTCATTGTATGCAGTATGTTCCAATTATTATAATTTCTATTGTAAAAGTCAATTGTGAACGGACACATTATTAATATTTCTCGTAGTCAAGGCTTTTTATTACAAATACATGTAAAGTGGCTTTTCTCTATTATCGAGAGGTACTCTTACGACTTGGCGATGCACGTGGTTACGAGGAAAGTCATGCAGACACAACTTCACTATAAGTAAATACAAATTCTGCGACCTGGCCCCACTTGTATAAAACATCTCAACTTGAGATTTCCTCAAGTCGAGATTTTCCTCAGCTGATATCTCCTCAAAAACGGCTTGTATAAAATTTTCTCAAGGAACAGGAGGAAGTCATCGGCTAGGATGTCCTGAAATTCTTTGAGGAATTTTCATACAAGATATTTTCAAGGAGATATTAGCTGAGGAAAATCTCGACTTGAGGAAATCTCAAGTCGAGATGTTTTATACAAGTGGGGACAGATGTCTTAATTTCAATCAGTAGATACCTTCAATGTCTATACTAATCATAATGTTATTCTGTTTGTTTATTTTTGCCAGATTCCACTAAAGACACAACAATAGTCAAGAATATGACTATCAACCCAGAGGTAATATGATTTAACTGTATGAATACGTCTACTTACTAACACCATTTTGATACATGTATGAAAACAAATTATGTACCAGTGAAATGAGCCCTAATATAAGATAAGCAAAGAAGTAGAGATAGATCTATAATACAAAATGAGAATTGACTGAAATATGGATAAGATATTTGTCAGATAGAAAAACATTCGCAACGAAGACTTGAGTTTTTGTCTTAGAAGATGTAAACAATAATAATTTCAACCCGTGTTATCGTAAATATATTTATTTTTTATTGTACGCGTGTTTCGTGTGGTTTATAAAAAGAAACCATTCATCATGTTAGCAATTTTTGTGGTCAGCCCTTGAAACAGAAAAATGAAACTGCAACAGGAAGACATTAACTCAGGTACCGCACATGTTAAATTTTATACAGAATTGGTAAGGGAACTCCTACAAGAGAGGAGTAACAAATAAGATGCACCGGAGTATACATACTAAAATAATGAAAATCGTAGATTGTTTTTATATATTATTCAGGAGTGTTTTATGACTCTGATGATTCTAAATATCAGCTCAGCAGAATTTTCAATCTATCTATCTGCAGAAACTTTACTGCAGATTTCCTGCAAACATGTGTTCTGAGTTAACAGAAGTCCTCTGTATTGTTCAATATAAGAGGATTCTGAAGAAAAAAAATCAAAGAATTAACAAAAGACAAATAGTTTTTCCAATCTACGATACAAGTCCATGACATAACATTACATATGATTGTTAATTAAGGAATTATGTGAGCTCGCTAAACTATACTCTTTATAGAGGTCAGGCGCACTATTACTCTTCTAGTGCCTTTGGTATCTCACTTGAAGCAATACAACATGAGCCCTTTCATCGTTCCAGAAATAGAGATAAAAGAAACACTCAGATGCTTTCTCTTTACCAATATGACTATCCTCACTATGAATTATTGTTCTCAATGGCTGTCACCGTCGTAATAATGTTTACAAAGAATCATTTTTGATTCAGTTCTAAAGATATTAGAGACGCAAAAAAAGAAGTTTAATAAGATAGATGAGACCATTGGTGAAAAAATCATGCAGACATGAAGGGTAAAACTCTCACCATATTTTCTATCATAAACACTGTGGACGTTTGAGAATTCAGGTGGATGTCCATAATGGTGATTGTTGTCAAACTTAAAATCTTATACATTTTTTACTTTGTCAAAATAATGATGATAATTCTTTGGACTATCTGCTTCAAACCCCTTGTAATGGGCGTGGTAAGAGTATTGAATGTGTATTTTGTAGGTCAGTAACGGATGATTATTTCTTCAATGCAAATAATTATCGTTTTATCAAAAAATAAACAACATTTGTTTCCCCCGACTATATATAAATAATCATTAATGTCATTGGTTCATACAATGTTTACAACTGGCATTTCGGGAAAGGCTTTCAGCCTGCTGCCCAATCCGGCTGACATATCTATCAATGAAAAATGTTGAAATTGATATTATGAAGATATTAATCAATCGTATATAATAAATAAATACTAAACAAAATAACCGTTGAAGTACTCGGACATGTTGACAATAGAAATATCATTTGATTTCAATAAACTCTGGAAATAGACATCAGATATGATGTCTTGCGATTTCACCAATTTATAAGTTAACAAAAAAGTTTACAGATGAAATTATATATTTCACATATCAGAATACCAACCATAATTCGACTGTTATTATATTAATTCCGTTAATGAAGTCTTGACATTTACATGAAATTGCCTGTGAATTGATTTTCAAGGAAACAAGCGTTACCTCTGACGATGAAAAATCAATGCATGTCGGTCAAGTACACATCTGCTCTAGTGGCGATATTGATAAATTCAGGCGCTGTTCGTAGACTAGACATGTATGAAATATAGAGTAGGACATCGCTATTGATGTTTACATATGTGTGGAGGCAATTATTTTACCTTTAAAGGTAATTCAGTTCAACGCGTTTCTTGTTATTATACCATAATAAAACGTTGTCCTTGTAAAGACAAAAGACAAACGTGTAGTTCAAGTGAGTTTGTTTTATTTCAACATCTTTTACTAATCAATATGATTATTTGACAAGTCAGAGAACAATAGTTCAGTGCTTATATGCCATAATTATACTTTGTTGATTAAAAGGTGGCAGAGATCAAGGTAAAAGAAAAACAGAATATAAGCACTGTCAAACTTGAGACATGCTCATCTGGACTAGCAACTCAATGTGAGAGCACAACGCCAATATCAGCGGATAGACACCGACTTCGAGGGAGGCGGTGTTCAGCAAAATGAAAGAATAGAAGCTACACGATAGAGAAGATATACATAGTCGAAATAGACTTGTAATGTGTGCATGTAACTTTTTTGTATCAGGATGCGCATATGTGATTGGATCACCAGAATATCGAATTATATCTGTATTACACAAGTTAATCTGTGTCCAGTACCTTACAATACCCCAACACATCAAGTATCAACTGATGTGGCAACTATCAACATATTTAAAACGTTTAAAAGTATTTTATGTATTGATCGTCACTTTAAGACATAACATTGAAGCTATGGTTTGACTGCTTCAGTCTACAATTATGATAGCAGTTACTGGTAATCTTACTAGAAAATCATTCGTTGTTGTTATACTTTGTGTTGTACTTTTGTTATCACTTACTTGGTGTGGTGTAAAGTAAATAGAGTTGTTGTGACTCACTTGGTGTAGTGTACAGTAAATAGAATTGTTGTGACTTACTTGGTGTGGTGTACAGCAAATAGAATTGTTATCACTTACTTGGTGTAGTGTACAGTAAATAGAATTGTTATCACTTACTTGGTGTGGTGTACAGTAAATAGAATTGTTAGGACTTACTTGGTGTAGTGTACAGTAAATAGAATTGTTATCACTTACTTGGTGTGGTGTACAGTAAATAGAATTGTTAGGACTTACTTGGTGTGGTGTACAGTAAATAGAATTGTTAGGACTTACTTGCATTAATTTTTAATTTGTCGTAAGAGCTATTTTGATATTCAATGAAGTGTATATGTTTATTATTTACATTGAAAACACGTGTTTTTAATCTTTAGATCATACTTAATTCATATAAGAGATATGTATGAAAAAGAGGGTACAATAATGTTTATGTAGGAAGTAAGATATTAAAAAGTAAATGACAACAAGATTACAAGACACTCGAGGTGATAAAGGAGTTTCAATGACGGTCAAACGAGACAATGTGGTTACAAATATTAAGAAATGTGGTAAGGTAGATATAAGGGCTGCAATGACTCGAATACGGAAGGTGTGATGAGGTATTTAAAGTAAGTACATGTGCACTGAAAAAGAAAGAGGGGTGACAGATATACAAGAAGTCTAATGAAAAATGAAAGTACTATGATAGACATACATAATAATTCCCAACAACTATATCATGGTTTATAGAAAAGAGTTTATTGAATAATGTATGACAAATATCACAAAATTAAAAAAAAAAGAAAGAAATTGAAACTTTACAAAACTATATCCTGATACACGTAACTGGGTTATATTCAATGATTCTGATTCCTATTTATAACTCTTGTTTATAATATATATTGTATACCCCCATTTCTTTGTCTTCTTTATTTTGATATTATGACGTGATATCAAGAGCTAAACATAGGATATGAAGATAAAACTGAACTTTGAAGTCACATATTGTGTATAGGCGTTGCATGTAACAAAAGCTGAGCATTGTCACTGTGAGTGGAAAAAGGAGGTGTAATGACAAATGTAATGTTATTTCGATTTAGAAGGTACGATGACAGGTATTCTACTTTGTCATCATGCACTTTTTCCAACTATTTTTCACATGCCTACAAAACATATTTTAAAAGAAGAGATATGTGTATTATGTAACTACTGGCTGAAAAAGGCTATTTTTTCTTGTTTTGAAATCATTGGCGCTGCAAAACGGGATAACGTATCATTGTTTGGGCCTGGGAAAATGGCAATTCTATCCAAAACATTTAGCATATTGCGTTGAGTAAACATTGACTATCAAAACACTGGACTTTATGTTTGCTATCTGGGCAGAGTGACATAACTGACAAACAATACTGTGATATGTGACCATTTTTATAAACAAGGACCAATGCCGGTATGTGGTGATACTATTGCGACCGCATTTTAACAGTATGATTAATGTTGCTAATATGCCTGTACTGACATTCCGTTGTATATATGGAGAAATAATTACAACATACTAAAAACATTGATATTTACACAGCTGTTTCAGCTTCATTACATAATGTAAAAGGGACATTTCATGTCCATATGACATCTCCGATCATCTTCAATTCTTGCATCGATCGACATTCACAAGGAAAAAAACAAATGAATTTCCTAAACGAAATAAAACATCTTCTGTACAAGAGTGGGAGCCGTCGTCGAACAATTTGAAATTGCATTCGTCATTTGAAATTAGATAATCTATAGAAAATTGTCTTGATAATATCATAAACATTATGCCGAGCAGAAGATTAAGTACTTATCCGAGCTGGAGGAAGCATGAACTGAATTACAATCATTACAATATGCGAGAAGCCAGACGAATATGGACCGCAGCTTGGAAATCAAGGATGGAATTCAGCACTATGTCATACCAAATCATACCAAATGCTCAAAGACCGAAGACATGCATTCAGGAACCAACGACAAAGAGGAGAGGGGAAGGGGTGGGGTGGGTGGGAGAGAAATTTACAATACTACCAAAGGATAATAGGATAGGACGCCTACAAGGGTACCGTTGCTGCGGATGATATATGTGTTAGTTATGGGCTAGGTATTATAGTTATCGTCTCCGGATAGAAAAGATCTTAAGATACACGCTTTAATTCTGAAACTAATGAGAAAATTCAATAAATCGTTTGATCAGCAAGTTTAAGGTCAAGACGTCGATTGGGAAACATTTAAAAACATGTTGCTTTGAAGGATGGAGAAGTAGGTCACCCAGACCAATATCCATTTTCCACACCCTCTGCAGATTGGTTTTTAGAAAGTTTTGCTTAACGTTGACGAAAACTACTTCGTTTTTTCACCGAAAAGTAATCCTCGCTTTACTTGTCTTTCCTAGAGTGAGCCTTCGACAGAATTTGGTTATTTTTTCTTTAACATTATGAACTTGGTATTGGAGGGCAACTTTCTAAAGTTATCTTCTATTCGTATAAGAACACTGAAGTATGTTTTCGGCTGAAAATAAGTGATTATTACCTTAAAACAATCGCTAGACTGCAGAATCCATCGACGTCATCAGCCAGGACCACCTCTCACTGGACGTTTCGACTCCTATCCTGGGACGTCCTCAAGGTGGCGAGTCGACAGTGATTGGCCAAATCACTGCCCGTCGATGGATGGCTTCCAGCTCAAATCTTCTCTTCTCCACCAAAGCCAGCTGGACGACTTCTCTGCTGTTGTTGATAGTCGTTGAACAGCTGCCCTTCGGTCTCTTCCCTGGATGCCTAGTGTAGAAAACATCCTCCACATGGACTGTGCAGGGAACCCTCTGCACCCCATCTCTACTGGCAAGACCCACACACTCCATCCTTTTGCTCTCAAGTCTGCAAGATCGGCGTACTTCCCTTTCTTCCGCTCATGAGCCTCTTGGCATCGATCCTCCCAGGGGACAGTTAGCTCAATCATTACCATTTTCTTCCCTTGCTGTGACCATAGCAGGATATCTGGACGAAGGTTGGTTTGGATGACCTCTGGGAAAACTAGTCTTTGTCCTAAGTCAACCCGCATCTCCCAACTGTTTGCTCCATCCAGTATCCCTCCTTGGTGCACTGCTTTCTTATTGGTTGGCTCTCCAGATCTTACAAAGTTGATGTACGATTGATGTTTGGTACATTTCCTCTTTTTCTGCCTTTCCTTCTCAAGGGTGTCTGCTAGCTTTCGCAGTACCTTGTTGTGTCTCCATGTATATCTCGCCTGGGTCAGAGCGGTGTTGCACGATGACAATACATGGGCCAGGTTACCCGGTTGGTCACACAGTGGGCAGTTGGGGTTTTCCGTCATCCCCCATTGGTGGAGATTGGTAGTTGTTGGTAGGACATCATACACTGATCGCAGGAGGAACTGGATTCTACATGATTCCAACTTCCAGATATCTGCCCATGTAAGACGTCTTTCCGTTGTCTCCCATTTGGTCCATGCTCCCTGTGCTCCCATTTCTACAGTTTTAACCTTCCTGATCTCTTCCTCCATCTTCCTGATGTTATCTTGAACCATCTTCCTCCTACCAGCCGTGTCTGCTGTTCCCCACCTTTCCACCCGCGTTGACCCTAACCCCTGTTTGCCTATACAGGTAGTCCCTACGATGTCGTTGTGCCTTAGCCTGCTCTCTGCTTCCTGTACCACACTGCTTGCTGACCACTTGCGTCCTGTTCGAGTCTCAATTCCAGCATTCCGGATCTTCTCATGTGAAAGTTGCGCGCTGGGTGAAATGTTCTCATCACTTATATGCTTAGATTATAAATAGACACACTGAGAAATATTCTATGTGAGACAAGGTCTGGTGTTGACATGTAGGCATGCAAATTCCTGCTGAAATTTTACTGGCCGGTGGTATTTTTCAAATATTAACTTTGAACTAAATGACCTGATGTCAGGAACATACGCTACCTAGAGCGCCGAAGATATTTTTGATAACAGAAATCAGTCTTAGAACCACGACTTCTAAACAGGGAGAAATAAAAAAGAACAAAGGAAAGTATCACATATAGACATATAGTTACTGCATCTCACAAATAGCCACAGTCCGGGGACGTGTGTGAGGTGTGGGGCGAAGTGCACGAAAAGAGTCTAGACAAACTCGAAAAAACACAGCGGAAACGATGTCGAGTCTCGCAAATATAGATTAAAGTTCTCACGTCAGATATTAAAAAACTCTACTGTCTGATATCAAAAAACTCTCCCGTCAGAACACCCGTTAATTAGGGAAAAAGTGAAAAAACAATACTTATATAACATGCGTGCGTAACTAAGACCAATTGACGTCCGTGAGATACTACAACAGCTGTACCCGTGTGTAATCAGCACAGAGGGTGCTGTTGCCTTTTAATTTGATTTAATTTTTTTTTATTTCCTTATGTCTAATTTGATGTAGATATAATTTGATAAATGATAAATGATCATATCCAAAACCCTGTTTTTTGGTCACTGTTTAACATTTAGTACACCTAAATTAACCTTAAGTTAAGTCTTCTTCCACTCTCAGACTTATTTTTTTTCACAGCCTTTGGGATGCTCTACTTGTTATTTT